TGTACCAGTTTTTAGTGGAAAAGCTTTTAGCTTTTCCCCATTCAGTATAATGTTAGCTATAGGTTTTACATAGATGACTTATACTATGCTGAGAAATGATTCTTCTATGCCAATTTTACTGAAAGTTTTAATCATGAAAGAATGTTGTATTTTGTCAAATGCCTTTCCCACATTGATTGAAATAATCATATGGTTCTTATCTTTCTTCTTGTTAATATTGTGTATTACATTTATGGTTTTGCATATGTTGAACTGTCCTTGCATCCCTGGGATAAAGCCTAGCTGGTCATGATGAATAATCCTTTGTATATACTGTTGAATACAGTTAGCAAGTATCTTGTTGAGAATTTTTGCATCTATATTCATCAGAGATACAAGTCTGTAGTTTTCTTTTTTGTTGTATCCTTAACTGTTTTGGGAATGAGAATGATGAAGCCTTCATAGAATGATTCGGAAGGGTTCCTTCCTTTTGGATCTCTAAAAATGGTTTGTGTAGAATGGGAGTTACCTCTTCTTTAAAAGTTTTGTAGAATTCAGCAGTGAAGCCACTGGGACCCGGACTTTTCTTTGTTGGGAGGTTATTTTTTATTGATTCAATCTCATTGCTTGTTATGGGTCTATTCAGGCTTTCTATGTCCTCCTGAGTCAATCTTGGTAGATTGCATGTGTCCAAAAATTGGTCCATCTCATCCAGGTTTTTTTTGTTTGTTGGCATATAGTCATTCATAGTATCCTCTGATAATGTTTTGTATTTCTATTAGTTCTGTTGTAATGTTGCCTGATTCATTGTGAATTTGGTTTATCTGGTTCCTTTCTCTCTCTTCTTAATTAGTGTAGCTAATGGTGTGTCTATCTTGTTTATCTTTTCAAAGAACCAGCTTTTGTTTTCATTTATTTTCTGTATAGTTCGTTTATTTTGTACTTCATTTATTTCTGCTCAAATCTTTATTATTTCTTTTCTCCTGGAATTTTTTTGGATATTTTTTGTTGCACAATGTTAGGTTGTCCTTTTGACACCTTTTCATCTTTTTCTTATGCACACTAGTTGCTATGAAATTCTCTCTTATGACTGCATTTGCAGTGTCCCATAGATTATGGAAATTTATGCACTCATTATCTTTTTGTCCCATGAATCTTTTAATTTCAGTCTTAATCTTTTCAGTAGTCATGAAGTCATTCAGAAGTAGGTTATTTAGTTTTCATGGTTTTGTGTGTTTTTGATGATTTTTCCTGAGATTGATATCAAGCTTGATTCCATCATTGTTGGAGAAATTGCTGGATATAGTTTCTATGCCTTTGAATCTGTAAAGGCTGTTTTTGTGCCCTGTCATGTGGTCAGTCTTCAAGAAAGTACCGTGCAGGGCTGAGAAAAATGTATATTTTGTGTTTTTTGGGTGGAAAGTTCTATAGATATCTATGAAGTCCATCTGATTTATGGTATCATTTAGGTTCTGAATCTCTTTGCTTATTTTTTTGCCTTTGATCTGTCTAAAGAAGATAATGGGGCATTGAGATCTCCAACAATTATTGTGTTACAGTCTATCTCTCCTTTTAGATCTAGATCTTTCCTTTACATATTTGGGTCCTCCCGAGTTGGGTGCAGAGATACTTAGAAGCATTATATCTTCTTCATGAATTAGCCCTTTTACTACTATATAATGCCCTTCTTTGTCTCTTCTATGGCTTTTTGTCTTAAAACTTATTTTCTCCTAAATCAGTATAGTGACTCCTGCTCTCTTTTGGTTTCCATTTGTGTGGAATACCTTTTTCCAGCCCTTCACTTTTAATCTATGTATGTCTTTATCTATGAGATGGGTTTCTTGTAGGCAGCATATGGAGGGTTTCTGATTTTTAATCCATTCAGTCAGTCTGTGTTTCTTTTTTTCTTTTTTTTTCTTTTTTTTGGAGAGGTTTTCGCTATAGGGCGCATGCGCTCGCCAGACAGACAGAGAGAGGCATAGAGACAGAAAGCGAGAAATCACCCCTCAGGGGGGATGGTCACATTGCAATCCCTTTTCCTCCATTCTCCTCTCGGGATCTTGGGCACGCACGCACACGCGCCCGGTATGAGTTTTAAGCCACCGGGTCTGGGACGCAAACCGCAGTCGACTACGTGGGAGTCCAGCGACATAGCCATTATGCTAACTGCTGGTTCCCAGTCTGTGTTTCTTGATCGGAGAATTTAATCCATTAACATTTGACATTATTATCGATATTTCCAGACTTGTCCCTTAAGTTGGCCATAATATTGGTTGATTTTTTTTAAATTCTTTTATTGCTGTCTATCTAGTTTTCTTGGTATAGTACTCCTTTCCTAATTTCTTGAAGAGCTGGAATTGGTCTGGAGTTGGTAAATTCTTTCAGGTTTTCTTTATCTGAGAACATTTTTATCTTCTTTTCCCATATGAAGGATAATCTTGCCAGGTATAAGATTCTTGATTGAAATTAGTTTTCATTTAACACTTTGAATATATTTCCCCATTCTTTTTTTTAAGAGTTGTTTTTTATTTAATTTTATCTGTTTATTTACTTATTTTAATTTGACCAGAGAGGGACTAAGAGAGAGAAAGTGAGAAAGCAAACTGCCAGGTCTGAGACTCAAACCACAGTTGGCTATGTAAGAGTCCAGTACTCTTAATCACCATGCCACAAGCTGGCCCTTATTTCCCCATTCTTCCCTTGCTTGCATTGTATCTGATGAGAGATCTAGTGTTAGCCTGATGGGATAGCCTTTGTAAGTAACTTGACATTTCTCTCTCACCAATCTTAGTATCTTGTCTTTGTCTGCAGTTTTGGCCAATCTAGCTATGATGTGACTTGGAGAGGATTTTCTTGGATTGATTCTATTTGGGGTTCTTTGTATTTCTTGGGTCTGGATGTTTGAGTGCCTCTCTAGACTTGGGAAGTTTTCTTCCAGGATTTCGTGGAATAGATTATCAATGACTTTTGTAGTTTCTTCACCTTCTGGGATACCATTATTCAAATGTTTGAGCATTTCATGGTATCTAGTATTTCTCAAATATTATCCTTAGTTTTCTTGGCTGTCGTCTCAGTATTTTTGATAATTTTTTGATAATTTCTTAGATCAGAGGTTTTGTCTTCTACTTTTGAGATTTGATCTTCTGCATGGTCTAACCTGCTTTTAATACTTTCAAGGGTGTTTTTGATTTCCTGTATTATAGCCTTCATATCTAATAGTTCCATTTGATTCTTTTTTATGGTGCCCAATTCTTTCATATCGTGGAAGGACTTCCTCATCTTTTGGAGCTCAATGTCTCTTTTCTCTTGTATCTCATAGAGTTTTGTTACCATAAATATTCTAAATCCTTTTTCTGACATGTTGGTAATATCCTCCCTACATGGAGACGAGTTACAGTGTTCCCTTACAGGATATATATTACTTGATTCTCTCATCCTTGAGGCTCTTGTCCAATTTTTAGTCATTTGGTAATGTATTCACTTCTGGCTAATTTGTTGGAGAAGGATTCTTGAACTCGTGTGTTTCCTTTAATGTGAAATAATTTGGTGTCATTTTCTCCCTTCTACTATGTGGGAATCACAGGAGAAGTTTTGAAATTGGATTTATGAAGGAGAGTTTCACTCTTTTTACAACCAGTATAGTGAGGGGTAAAGAATTCTCTAAAACTCACAATATTCAGATGTTTAGCTACTGTGCACCTAGACTTCTCTGAACTCGTGTGTTTCCTTTAATGTGAAATAATTTGGTGTCATTTTCTCCCTTCTACTATGTGGGAATCACAGGAGAAGTTTTGAAATTGGATTTATGAAGGAGAGTTTCACTCTTTTTACAACCAGTATAGTGAGGGGTAAAGAATTCTCTAAAACTCACAATATTCAGATGTTTAGCTACTGTGCACCTAGACTTCTCTAGGCAGTGGGTAACAGCTGAGCAGCAAATTAGGAGAGTAAAGTAAAAGAAAATGAAAATAGGAATCAGAAAGAGGAAGAAAAAGCAATGGGAAAAGAAGGAAATAACTAGACAAAAAGAAGAGAAAAAACAAATCACATTGAAGAAAATAAAATTGGGTTAAAAACAGAAAACTGAGTAGCACGACAGGCAGAGATAGAGATGCCTGGATGGATTCTGGGTGATGGAAAGAGACAAATTAACAAGAGAAAGGCACAAGGAAGGGAACAGAAGGCTTTTTAAAAAAAAATGAGAAAAAAGGTTGGAAGGGACAGAGAAGAACAACAGGGAGAGACTAGCACTGGCGTCTGGAAGGGGGGGCCCTGGGCTTAGCAGCTATGAAGCTGAACCCAGAAGGGACACCACAGGCAAAGATGGAGATGCCTGGACAAATTCTCTAGTACTTTTCACTCTTTAACTGGGCAAACACCCCCCCCCCACTACCCGTTCCCAACTTCTCCTCTTAACTCATGTTGTCCCCAAACATCTGACATAATGTCCTTCTATCAGCTGCCACACGAAGTCTGATAGTCCAATTAACATGAATCTCTCTAGGAACTCTTTTTTAAAATAATTTTATTGTTCAGCTGGCATGTTGGTTAAGATGCTAGACTCCCATATGACTGACCGTGGTTTGAGTCCCAGACCTGAGTGCTTGCTTTCTCACTTTCCCTTTCTCTCTCTCTCTTCTCTGGTCAAATTTAAAAAATAATAATAAATAATTTTTAGAAAAATAATTTTATGGTAATTTCTGCTTTACATATAATAATTGAACATCTTTGTAAGGTACAGTGTGGTTATTCAAAGTATGTATATAATGTGTAATGATTAAATAAGGAAAAGAAACATGTCCACCATCTCCAAAATTTATCATTACTTTGTATAGTACACATTTAAAATCTGTTCTTCTGGTTATTCTGAAATAACATTGAATCGTAACCAATGTTCTTTACTGTGCTGTAGGACTCTATAACCCACCCATTTATTTGCATGCACTCTTGTATTTATTAACCAAGCTCTCCCCTTCTACCCTTCTCCTTTACAGCTATCTACCATTACAACTATTTCTAAGCAAAGCAAATCTTTTACCTTCTGCTAATGAACCTGGCTTATTTCACTTAGCATTATGCTCCAGGTTCATCCATGTTACCTCAAATAACAGGAATTCATCATTTCATAGTTTGATAGTATTCAATTGTGTGTGTGTGTGTGTGTGTGTGTGTGTGTGTGTATTTATTTATTTATTGACTACAGGGTGCGTGTGCTTGCCAGAGGGACAGAGTGACAGAAAGCAAGAAATCACCCTCCGGGGGGATGGCCATGACACAATCACTTCTCCTCTATTCTCTTTTGGGATTTTGGGCATGAACACACATGTGCCCAGCATGAATTTTAAATCGCCAGGTCCAGGACTCGAACCATGGTTAATTTTGTGAGAGTCCAACAATGTAACCATTAGGTTATCTGCTGGTCCCAACCACATTTTCTTTTATTTGTTCCTCACTTGTTGGGTACTTAGGTTGATCCATATCTTAGCTATTGTGAATAAAGCTGCAATAAATGAGGAAGTGAAAAATGTTTTAACTTTTACTGTCTATACTACTTATTTATAACTAACTCAAATTATACCCAGAAACATCTCTAGTGTTTTCATCTGTTGTAATTATTGCTACCTAAATTTTAACATACGTATTTTTTTCTATCTCCAAATATATTATAAATTATTTGAGGGCAAGAATGTTACGTTATAATAGCCTACACAAAATTAGTAGGGCTGTGCTAGTCCTTTCTATTTCTAACAGGCAATACTTGAAATTGGGTAATTTATAAAAATAGAGGTTTATTTAGCTCACGGTTTGGAGGTCCAAGGTCCAGGGTGGGGTCTTCTAGCTGTATCACAACATGGTGGCAGGCAGGAGAGCTTGTCTGTGATCTGTCATTCCCTCTCCTTATAAACCCCCCCAGAACACAATCATGTGGGAGGCTCAGTCTGATAACCTTAATCTCCCCAAAGGTCCCACCTTTCAATCCCATAATTAGATCAAGTTTTCACCCTCTTAATCCCAACAATACTTAGCACATAAATTGGGAACTGGGGACATATTTAAACTATGCAAGGGCACAGAGCCTTATTCCCAATTGGAGACAACTGCTGGGAGAGTGAATGAAGACTCAAAGGAAGTTAGAAACCAAATTTTTAGGAATAAAATACTTACTGTGGAGTTGATACATTTTTTAAAACTATCAACGTTGCCATAAAAAATAGGACTAGAAAATCTAAGAATCTTCACTCCTTCAAGTTCTTCAATCTGGCATTAAAAAAAATTGTCTAAGATTAAACAACTATAGGCCTCAAATATGTAATTAAAATTTTGGCTACTTAGCAAATAACCATCTCTCAATTGCTCAGAAGAGCTGGACAGCAGAAAACTTTCCTTGAATAGGGGCTTCATCCCAGTTGGGAAACAATGGGTTACTAAAACTCTTGAACCTCTATAGTCCCACAGAAGGTCAAAGTGAGAAAGGTCTTAGAATTTAAGTCTCCTGATTGAAGAAACTGAGACTCAGAACAATAATATGATTTACCTCAAGTTCATACCATTGACCCTCTTATTTTGTTAAAATCTTTAAAATCTTTAAAAAAAAAAAAAGACAAAATGAAGAGAATTTGCAAGAACTGAGGTCTGTGACGTTTTCTGTTTGTTCTCACTATAATACACCGTGGTCACACCAAAAGTAGAACCCACAGAATCATAGACTTTTCTAGTCTTTATGAATGGTAACAATTTTCCTGTAGCACCTTCAGATGAGAAAATTGAAACCCTGAAAGATTGACTTGGGCAACATCTCACCCAGACAGAGCCTAGAACTCAGAACTAGGGAGTTCCCTAGTTCACTATACTACAGCACCGCCCCCCCCCCAAAAAAAAAATCTATTAAATAATTTTTTATGCAAGTTGGCTCAGCATAGTAGAAATATTATGGAAATAAATTATTTTGCAACTACTAGAATTCCAGGTTCTGTGTCCTAGATTTTTTTTTCAATAAAGTTAAATAAAACTACAGCTTCATAGGGTTTATTTTTTTCAAAACTTATATTTTTCAACTTATTTTCTCTGCTTTTTCATCTTTATTTCCCCTAGTAGTCACTAAGCAATTTTATGTGCAGGTGACACAATTAAACCTCATCAGTGGGATGTTTGATTTCTTTCTTTTTCATTTTCCATATCATGTATTATTTTCTTCCAATTCCAAGGATAAAGTAAAATATCAAGGTCTTAGTGATGGAGAACTTGAATTTTTCTTGTTAGATATGAATGGAGAAAATTTTACAAGGGATTTCAGGCAGTTTTATAAAGGATAGGATTACATAGCAGAGAAAATTTTAGTTGAACATCTGGAAATAATCTAATTACCTATTATTTTTAATAGGTAATCCTCTTACAGTGGCCTTCCATTAAAATGACATTTATCTAGCACAGACTACATTCATATAGGCTTTGATTGTAGAAGGTACTCTGGGTCAAAAGCTTTCATGAGGCTCCCAGTGGACTAAAGCACTTTTCCAACAGAAGTCTTCCACTTTGACTATTTTGTACTTAACATGCAAAAAGAGAAATACCGTATGCAATTTCTGAAATCTTAGGCTAGTAAACCCAAGACTAGCAAATGTCTCATAAAGGCACTTACATTTTTGTAATTCTTGGTACTTTTATAGATGTCCGTGCTGGGGATGCTTCCAAGGCCATTCCATGAAGGGCTAAAAGAAGAAAAATTAAGGTTAGGGTTTTTTGGAATAGCCATATCTTGGACTAAAAAGTTAAAAAGGAATATAATCTATGAGAGTCCAGGATTTGGTTGTTTTAGAGTCTGTCTGTATTGTAGATGACATTTTCCGGTAGCTAACTCTGAAATGAACAGCTGGTGTTTGTGTGGAATTGGAGGAGAAGGAGGAACTGTGACTCTTCTGATGGCTGAGAGAAATAATGAGCATCATATTTGCATGTGCATACCAACTTATAGGATAAGCAAAGAGTTCATACATGTTAAATCATATTTAGGTCCTTCCTAAATAAAGCTTAACAGTATTATCTTTAAAAAAAATCCATTATATGGGGAACCAGCAGTTAGCGTAATGGCTATGTCGCTGGACTCCCACGTAGTCGACCATGGTTTGTGTCCTGGACCCGGTGACTTAAAACTCATGCTGGGCGCATGTGCGTGCGTGCCCAAGATCCCGAAAGGAGAATGGAGGAGAAGGGATTGCGGCGTGACCATCCCCTCTGGGGGGGTGATTTCTCGCTTTCTGTCTCTATGTCTCTCTCTGTCTGTCTGGCAAGCGCACACGCCCTATAGCGAAAATCTCTCAAAAAAAAAAAAAAAAGATTCTGGAATCTCCCTTCCAGAAAATTAAAAAAAAATAATAAAAAATAAATTCATTATATGCATGTGCATGGGAGAGGAACAGAGAGACAGACACCTGAAACAGGGTCTCATCATGCCACAATTCCCTTCCCCCAGTCCTTTAGTTAATCATGATCTTGGGTACCTCTGCATATTGGGCATCTTTTCAGGTCCATCAGGCTGGTGATCCAAACCCATGGTTAGCCATATGGCTTCTGGGACTCCAGTGCAATACACTACTGTCTGTATCACTGTGTCTGGACCATATCCTTATTTTTAAAAAAAAATTTTTTTAGAGAGATTTTTGTTACAGGGCATGTGCACTCACCAGAGAGAGACAGAAAGTGAGAAATCACTCCCCAGGGGGATGAACATGCCACAATTCCTTCTCCTCTCGAGATCTTGGGTACACACACACATGCGCCTAGAGTGTTTTAAGCCACCGGGTCCAGGACTTGAACCACAGTTGACTACATGGAAGTCCAGCGATGAAACCATTATGCCATCTGCTGATCCCAATATCCTTATTTTTATTGATGAATAAACTGAGATTCAGAGAAGTCAGAAAAGGCCCCAAGATAAAGGGCAGCACAGCCTCTGTTTTTAATACACGGGCCTTCAGTGTCTGGTACTTATTGGTGACTAATGGCAACTCCCTGATGAAGTATGTAGAGTCTGTGGGGTAATCAAATTTATCTCTTTTTTCAGAGCCTGGAAGAACCAGAAATAAGATCATCCTGTCAGCCATAGTGCTGGTTTCCCATTCCTGATGCAATCAGATAAATTCCATGATTCTTCAAGTGTGACTGGGGATATCCACTAAATATTGGGTTGTTGGAAAAGTCGTAACATGTTTTCCTGTCTTTCTATACAAAAGTGTGTCATGACTCTTCCGATAACCCAATACAATTCCTGAAGAAAGAGCATCTGTTTAGGGTACCTTGCACATTGTGCTCTCTGGGTCAGCACTGTAATTACTGAAACTTAAATACTGTGGAGGACACTGCTGCATGTTGGCTGAAAGCCAAGTTACCAAACTAGCAGCTAAAATGTGCCGTGAGTTTTTCCTTGGCATACTGTATTGTGCTGATTTTTTAATTTAAAGCTTATAAACTAGTCTGTGTCTATAAAACTCTTCTCTCCCAACCACACCCACACAGGAAAAAATAGACACTGAGGCATATACAGCATGACAGGCAGCAGCTTCTAAGGACAGTTTCTGAGTTATGTCCTAGCAGCAAATTGGGCACTTTGGGAGCTCATGAACTCCCTCGGCCCCAGACAACTATTTACAGTGCTGAAGCAGAAAACATAAGCCTTTTGAATAGGCACCAACATGCCAGAGTAAGGACACACACTGATCGGTGGAACAGGAGAGGTGAGCTTATGCTACACGGAAGGCATCTATGTTGTTTTTCCAGCTTTTTTTTCCTCCATGGCCTAAGCACAGGCTGAGAGAGGGCCAGAAGTCTGGGAGAGTCAACAAAAGCATAGAGAAGGGAGAGTGGCTCTGTTCCCCTCTAGGCCCAGGAGGGCACGGAACTAAAGCCCCTCAAGAGTCAAAACAAAACCAAAGACAACAAAAAAATCCACTTGCAGGATCCCTCGTGAGTTGTTTTCCGTTATTTCAATTGTGTCTTTGCTGCTTTCATTCTGCATATGAGCTCATTATGTTTTCTCCACATAATTGTGTGGCTTATAGGCATAAGCCTTCTTGGATAAATGTGAATGAATGCTGGCTGTAACCAGCTCTTCTGAAGCTTTCTTTTTCTGAGTTACATACCTTTTGTGTGACTTAGCTTCAGAAGAGAAAAATGAAATAAAATGTATGCGGAGCCTCCAGAAGGTTCGTGGAAAGATCATAGTATAAAAAACTGTGGACCAATTTCAATTTTTTTGGCACCAAAATAAACTTGCACTTTAATGTCATTTTTCTATAACCCGTTTGAAGTCCCCTCCTCAAATTTAAGAGCTGTCTATTCCAAACCTTGGGCACAGTGCCTCAAATACTTTATCTCATTTAAAGAAGAAAAGCAACCTCAGTCTTTGGCTGAACCATGTATCTTTTAGTCTTACCATGACTGAGACGGAGAGCACAGATGTGGAGCTTGTGACTAAGTGCAGAGATGTAGGGTTACTATATATCTGGGTTCAAATCTTGGCTTCGCCACTTACAAGCTATGTGAACTTAGGGAAAGTTCTTAGACACACACCACACAAGTGCATGCATGCCCAAAATCTCAACAGGTAGAAGAAATGGAGGAGAAGAGATAGCAGCATGACCATCCCTTTTAGGAGAGAGGTACTTTCTTCTTCCTCTCTCTCTGTCTACCTCTGGCAAATTAAGAAAGAAAGAAAGCTTAAGGTTTGTTATCCTGTTATAGGAAATCAAGAATTTACATTACTCACAACTGAACTCTCAAGACCACAGTCAATAGTCCAAATATGAGGCCAGCTAGTAAACCAAGGTCCAGCCCCAGAATGATAGACATGATGCATGTAAACACCCAGATAACCTAGGGAAAACGGAAATGAAAAGAACTGTATTAATTCATCAGGTACCATCAGGTGATAGACTACCTGTAAAAACATGATCAATTATACACAAACAAATTACAGCTTTTCAGAGAAAAATTGCTTTCTCACTCATATGCAAACACTGAGAAAGGTGACCTCATAGAGGTAGACAATAGAATAGTGGTTACTAGAGAGGGAAGGGAGATAGAGATAGTGGTTAATGGATACAAAATTTCAGTGAGATAAGAGAAATAACAGTTAGTTCTGTAGCACAGCAGCATAACTGTAATGAACCGTTACTTACTATACATTTCGCACTATCTAGAAGAGGGTTTTGAATGCTTCCAACACGAAGTAGTAATAAACGTTTAAGAGCGGGACCAACAGATGGTATAATGGTTACATTGCTGGATTCCCATGTGGTCGACTGCCATTTGAGTCCTGGACCCAGGAGTTTAAAACTCACACTGGATACATATGCGTAGGTGCCCAAAATCCCAAGAGGAGAATGGAGGAAAAAGGATTGAATTTGGCTATCCCCCCTGGAGGGTAATTTCTCACTTTTTGTTTCTCTGTCTCTCTGGTGAGTGCACGCACCCTATAATCAAAAAATCTCTCTCAAAAAAAAAAAAACTTTAAAAAAGATAAATGTTTGAGATCATGGATATGCTAATTATCCTGGTTTGATCATTATACATTGGACTCATGTACTGACGAATGACACTATACCTCCAATATATGCATAATTATTATGTGCCAATGAGAAATACCAGGAGACTTCCAAAAGTTTGTAGATAGATGGAATTAAAGTACAAGTTTATACTGGTGTATCCTGTTTCACTTCTCTGTGTGTCTCTCCCCAGCATTTTCATTATGGTTTCTTTTTCTCATAACAATTTGTCTTGGAGGTCTTTCCATGCTCATACATAGAAAGTTTTCTCATTCTGGGACCCGCAGTTGCCATAATGGCTATGTTGCTGAATTCCCAAATAGTTGACTGGTTTGAGTCCTGGACCCGGTAGCTTAAACTCATGCCGGGCACATGTGCATGAGTACCCAAGATCCTGAGAGGAGAAGGGATTGTGGCATGGCCATCCCCACTGGGGGATGACTTCTCAATTTCTATCTCTCTGTCTCTTTCTGTCTTTCTGGCAAGCACACACGTCCTATAGCAAAAACCTCTCCAAAAAAAAAGAGAAAGTTTTCTCATTCCTATCATTTATACTGGCTTAAATTACAGCAGAATGCCAAAGGATATGGCTTTTGGTGTTTACAGTTCCTCAGAATAGTTATGAAGTTTACTTCAGTCAGAATTAAAATGAACATGGATTTTCATAATTTGCTTTTGTTTTATGTTGGTCCTCCCAAACTAGGGTTTATAAAAATTTTTTTGTTTGTTTTTTGCTTTAGAAGGTAAAAAAAGTGTATGAATGAGCCTTATATGGGATTATTGCTGGAAATGAGTCTTCCGAGAGATTCGAGATCCTCACAAAATGCTTCTAATTTCTACTCTGGGGTTTCCAGAGTGCAATAAGACTGAGGAGACAGGAAGACAAAGTGATGTAACAAGAACATAAGAACAAATCTCATTTCAGAGAAAACTGGGTGGTGGGTGACTTACAGCATCAATCTTGTTCTGCCTCCACAGACGAGGAACATCACACACCTGCATAAACATCCCTTTCAGGTTGGCAATTACAACAGCTGCCAAGACCGACTGCCAAGACAGACAAGGAAGGCAGTGTTATTCGGGAGAATAGTTTTCCATGTGATGATTTTTAAATCTCTTGTTGTTTCTCTGGTAGCAGAACAGTGAAGGGAAATTATGCAATCCATGTGCAGAGAAGCAGGGTTATACCTTCTGCAAGGGTTCCAGAAGCTTCCCCAGGGCAACAATGGCGATCATCACAATCCCAGCTGAGACGATGCCAGCAATCTGAAAGACACACACTTCCCATGAAGAGGGTTTGTCCTGCTCCCTTGCTGGGAGGGTTTGTCTTGCTGCTAGCTGGCTAGGTGTGTCCAGGAGAAAGTGTGTTTATGAGCACATTTGATGCTACCCTGTCTGTCCTTTTCTGCTCCATACTATGGAGAGAGATGAGAATTACTTGCTACAACTCTACAAAACTGAACAAAAATAGAAATCTCACATATGTACTGTGGTAGAAAATTTAAAGAGAACGTGGAGACTGAGCCTGCTAAAATAAAGCCCATTTGACCTGATTTCATTTGGATATATTACACACCTGTAGTTTTGATGTCAGTCCAGAAGGCCAACCTTCTAGCTATTTACCATGCCAGGAAACACAGACCACCATCCCCTTCCCCAACAGTAGAGGTTATTGTCATACTCAGAAATAAATTCCTATGGCGTGTATCTGATTCATCATTGAAGCAGCAGCCATAATAGCAACTCTGATACTCGTAGCACATGACTCCCAGAATCTCAGAATAAATAAACATGCCTGCCCTGTCACAAATTCTAAATTCCAAACTGGCATATTGAGAGGCGAGACTATAGCTCTTGTTTCTTCTGACAGTTCCACAAACCCAGCCTGAGCTTTGCCCCAGGGCAGCCCAAAATAGGGGATGAGGAGAGACACAAGCAGGGGTAAAAGGAAGCTGCAGAACTTTTACCTTCGCTGCAAGGAAAGCTTTCCTAAGATCCGTAAATAGTCAGGAGAGAGGCTGAGAGGGTTGGGACTATTCTCTGGTTTGATTAGATGACCAGTGAATTCTCTGTGAGACAGCTGGGCCCTGGTGGAGGTGAAGCTAGAAGCTCTGAAACAGAGGAGAAAAGGAGACAGAGAGCCAGAGCAACGCAATCAGAGCGGAAGCAGCAGGAAAGAGGTGTGTTGAGTGCAAGTACTGCCCAGTGCAAGATGTCTGGGTTAAAGGAGACAGACGCCGCAAATGGAAATGGAAAACCTTGTCAGAAAACATTCACTTCATCTGGCAAATTGCTCATTTAGGTCCCGCTTATAGTCGGGTCAGCTTGAGGCAATATTATATATAATATGTACTAAAAGCTTGTGTTCTACGTTTGGTCCCTTTTCTATGCTTTTCTAGCACTACATCTCCAGGTTCCCAGTACCCTGGTGAGCTTTCTGTCCCTCCTTTCTAAGGAGAGATGCTAATATCTTCCTTCCCTTCCACTCTCCTCCCTCTTTCCTCCTACCTTCCTCCCTTTCTCCTTTCCATTCCTTTCCCTTCCCTTCCTCCCTCCTTCCTTCCCCCCATACAATTACTTAACAAATATTTACTGAGCTACCTGCACCTACCTGTGGATGTAAGGTTCTGTGAATTGGGAGGAGATATGGAGGTTTGGGGACAGGGACTCAGCAACTGCCCAACTCATGCCAGGAGAGTGGCCACCTAGTGACCAAGCATATGTAAAAATAAATCTCTAATTATGTCCCAGTGCTAACTTTGGACACTATATTAAAATCCATGAGAGGTGGGGCCAGCAAGTGTTGTGGTGGTTAAGGCACTGGACTTCCACATGGCTGACCATGGTCTGAGTCCCAGACCAGCAGCTTGGAAATCACACTGGGTGCATGTGCGTGTGTGCCCTGGATCCACAGGAGGAGAATGAAGGAAAAGAGATTGTGGCCTGTCCATCCCCCCTAGGGGGTGATTTCTCACTCTCACTCTCCCTCTCACTGTCTCTGTCTCTGGAGCGTGTACATGTCCTATGGCAAAAGTCAAAAAAAAATTCTGTGAGAGATCAATTACTTGTACTTGCTTTATAAGCCTAGTTTGTAGAAAACTCTGTTGACTTTATGAGTGGATTCAATTCTAGAAAATTATTTTGCTAAGTGAGAAGGTAAGCAGAGTTAGACAGTAGTTTATAATGAGGATTACTTTTTCATGAGTCATTAGGAGTCAGATGAGGGCAGGAGAAAGAACAGGTCTCAATGTTTAGCTCTTCTACGACACGTACAAGTGGTGAAAACAGTTAATATCCACCAGCACTCCCTCTTCCATTTATTCATTCTGCAAATACATGCTGTGCTGCTTATATGCCAGGCACAATATGTTGATCTTGGATACTAAGATGCTACTTATATCTTGAGGAGTGGAACAATGTGAATTTAGAAGTATGTGCTAGGATTTTTTAAACATTTTCTTATGTAATCTTCACACTATCCCTGCAAGATGGATATAGTTATTATTGCCATTTTATAGGTGCTGAAACTGAGATTTCCAACATCAGAGAAAAACAAAAACAAAAACAAAACAGGGGAAGCAAAAAAAGAGAAGACCTGCCATTCAATTTGTTCGGTCCTGAGTTCCTGGCTTTCAGTCCCAGTCACTTAGACTTTTAACCCCAGAACTTAGTGTACATTTCAGTAATTAAATATCTAGCCATTTCTGTACTTGTTTCATTATTCAGCGCTGAAATCCTGGCATCCTTCATTCCTAAATATAATACATGCCAGTGTGTGGCAGGAGATATTAACTTACCAGAACACCATTATCCCCCAAACCCTTTGCCAAGGAGGTCGCTTTACATGGGCATTCTTACGGAGGCGGCCAGCCTGTGCCTCCTTTGAGCATGGCAGTAACAACAGGAGAGTGGACATCAGCAGCGTGAGATGTGTCTGCACCCACTTAAGACCATGTGCTCTAGAAGGCTTATCAATGCTCCATCTGGAATGGAAGCTGCAGAAACTCCCACTGCTGACAGCTGCAGCCGGAAATGGGCACTGCTCTGGAAATGAGCTCTGACCTATTCTTCTAAAGTACAAACCTCTGGTCATGCCTCCTGACACAGGCTATGTTATTTTACTTGCTCCTTCAGAACTAGAAATGTCTCCCCCCCCAAAAAAAAAAGAGAAATTTTGAAAGTTAAAATTAAATTTTTGTTCAAAAGGAGCCTAGAAATAAAATTAAAGAAATAGTTCTGAAAAAAATTAAAAAGTGATCAATTCTACCAAGTCTGCCACGAGCGCCATTATAAATAGGAAAGGAGCCTTGTGCTCACCGTGAGGACAATGAAAGCCATGCCACCCCTGCCCCAAGTCACAGTTGGAGTCATCTGTTTTCTCAGTTATTGTCTTTTATATCTATTTGTAAGTGTCTCCACCTTCATAAAATCCTAGTTGATGACTCTGTGTGTGTTTTACATATTTAGTTTTAGTTTGTTGTTCTCCTTAATAGTCTCAATGCACTTTTTATTCCTAAATAATAGTTCTTTCTATGCTAGGAGAAGAAAAACCCTCAAGGCATAACAGAAACACAGTTCCCCAGTCCAGTCTATCTGGCATATCTGATTTGGTGTCCGGTTGTAAAGCGTGGCCTTTAGGAAGGGCTCCTGAGCTTTCTGGCCAATTCAAGGAGGGATTATCCAGAGATTAACTACGATGCTGGTTTTTGACCACCTTACAAAGACAGCCGAAAACCACATCTTAAAGGCAAGATGAAACTCACATTCAGAAGTTCAGGAACAAAAACCTTAGTAAGAAATTCCAAAATGTTACAATGAAAATACTTTTGGCTAGCAAACTGCGGTTCCATGGGACCAAAGGCCTCTGAAGGAAGTTCCTGATCCTTGTAAAGGAAATGTGAATAGATCTTTTCATTTTCTTCAAAATATAATAACTCACAAAGCCCTGAAGTACTTTTTACTAAGCCCTCTCTATCCCCAGATAACGAACTGATAAAAACCAGCATTCTTCATTACTAATTCCTTGTCAGCTGTTTTTGTCCCTGAAAACATGGGTAAGTGTAGCTATTTGCCAGGTGAGTACCGACACGAAGAGAGATGAACATAGCTGAATCAGAAAATCTTAAGTACATTTCACAATGTTACAGTGAAGGAGTGGTTCAAGAGGGTGAACAGAATCCAGTTGAATCTGATCAAGAGACATATGTCTTTCACTTTTTAAGGGTCAGTCATCCTGTCCAGCTCTTGTGCAACCGTGTCTGAGCCACCATTCTCCTGACTCATTCTTTGCCACAGATATTACCAAGCTTTTGTTCCATACCTGTGTCTTCCCCCCTGTGCTCTCCTGGACAGCTGTGCGTGACAGGGCAGTGGTGGCCACAAAGCAAGAGAAGAATCCGGAGAAGATGTTGCTGATCCCAAAGGCAATGAATTCCTAAGGGAGACACTGGATGACAGTGATGCTACAAATAGAATCTTTGCAAGACCCTCACCAAGTGTTTAAGGGAGTACATTAAGAAAGCAGACTCTGGGGCCAGTTCTGTGGCCTAGTGGTTTAGGCAGCTGAATCCCATCTGACTGATCATGTGGTTTGAGTCCTAGCCCCAGTGGCTTGAAAAAAATGCTGGGAATGGGTGTGTGCATGCCTGAAATGACTACAGGATGGAGAAATGGAGAAGGTATTATAACATAACCACACCTCATTGGGGAATGCTTTCTCTTTCTCTCTCTGTCTTTTTGGCAAGCACACGATTTCTGACAAAATTAAAAAAAAAAAAATAGTGCAGTGGATAAACCCTAAGTGTAGGGTACTGGGTGTAGGGAGCTGGATCCCAGATGGCTGACTGTGTTTTGATGCCTGGCTCCAGTGGCTTTAAATACATACCAGACACGTGTTTGCATGCCCTGAATCATGACAAAATGGAGAAATGGAAGAAAAAGGGATTGTCGTATAACAGGTCTCACTGGGGGTACATTTTCTTTCTTCTCTCTCTCTATCACTCTTAAGCAAGCACATGAATCCTCTGGAAAAGAAAAAATAAGAAAGCAGGAGCCAGCAGATTGCATAGTGGTTATATCTCTGGACTCCCAAGTTGTTGACCACAGTTCAACTTCTGGACCTGGTGACTTGAAAATCATGACAGGCAAGTATGTATGTGTGCCCAAGATCCTGGGAGTGGCTGATTTCAAACTTTCCCTCTCCTTGTTTCTGTCTCTGTCTTTCTCTCTCTGGCGAGCATACACACCCTATGGCAAAAACCTCTAAAACAAATTAAAATAAAATAAGAAAGCAGACTCCTAAATCCAGACTGCCTAGTAGCCTAATCTAATGTTTACTATTAAAGGTACCTGGGACTGGGGGCCAGTGGGTAACAGGTGGATGTGGCACTAGACTCCCACATGGCTGACCACAGTTTGAGCTCCGGACTTGGTGTCTTGCATTCTCACTTTTCTTCTCTCTCTCTCCCCCTCTGTCTATCTCTGGTCAGACTGAAAAATAATAATAAAAAAATTAATAAAAATTTGACTAAAAAATAATAATAAAAAAATTAATAAAAATTTTTAAAAAGTACCTGGAGTCCTTGTAGGACACCAGAACTTTGGACTCCATAGAACCTAAGAGGGACCAGCAGATGGTGTAATGGTTACATCACGGAACTCCCATGTATTCCACCAAGACGCGAGTCCCTAGACCCAGCAAGCTTAAAACTCATAACAGGCACATGTGCGTGTGTGCCCAAAATCCCAAGAGGAGAATGGAAGAAGGGATTGCGGCATGCCCATCCCTCACAGGGGGAGGTGGTTTCTTGCTTTCTGTCTCTCTGTCCCTCTCTGTCTCTCTGGTGAGAGAACTCATGGCCTAAAGCAAAAATCTCTAAAAACTAAAATAAAACTGAATCTAAGAGAGGATTTACTATTCTCAACCATTTTTAAGTTTGATGAGAAATAGAATCTAATCTCTTACTAAAATGCTTTTTAACTGCCTGATAAGTGACATATCTGCAGCTCTCACATAAAATACTTTTCTATAGTTAGATGTTTGCTATGAAGCATGTTATGACTAATAAACTGTTATTCTACTTGATTACTAATCATTTAACTGCTGTAATTGCTATGCTGTATTTTCAGAAACATATGGGTATAAAACTTGCAAATTTGCAACCAGTGTAAAATTAGCCTGGCAATGTATCATACACTTACAAAAACTTCTATTATATTACATTATTATATTATAGTAATTGCACGGTGAACCATCTCAGTTTAAAATGGTCACAACTATTACTAATGGGCTTGTTCACTATTTTGTCATTTTATACCTTCCCTTTTAAAAAGCTTACCAGGAGATACTAGGTCACACAAAGAAGTGATAACCTAATAGGTAAACTTGGAATATTATTTATGACCTGTAAATGAACTCTTTTAAAATTTGACTTTCTTTGGGGCCAGCAGATGGCTTAACAGTTCTGTTGCTGGACTCCCACATAGTGGGCCATGGTGCTGGACCTAAGGACTTGAAACTCACACCAGGTGCATGTGAGTACATACCCAAGGTCCCAGGAGGAGATTGAGGACATGGCCATTCCTCCCTAAAGGGTGATTTCTCACTTTCCCTCTCACTAACTGTCCCTTTCACTGTCTCTGTCTCTCTCTCTCCCCCTGGTGAGAGAGAGACATACCCTAAAGCAAAAAACAAACAAACAAACAAAAACCTCTTAAAAAATAAATTAGGCTTTCTTCAACTTATTTCTTTTTTTCTTATTTTAGTTTTTTTTCCGTAGATCATATGTGCTCTCTGGAGAAAGACAGAGTGAGAAAAAGTGAAAATGAAGCTCCCCCCTAATGGGTTTATGGCCTTGCCACAGTTCCTATTCCTCTACTCTCCTCTTGGGATTTTGGGCCCACATGCACCCAAGCGTAGAGTGATTTTGAAGCTGTTGGGTCCAGGTCTCAAACTGCTTAGTTAACCCTATGGGATACAGTGCCTTAACCACCATGCCACCCAACTTATTTCTTAAGAAGCAAAGTCATGTAATCTGTGTGTCCCCGTGCCACCCTAAATAATTGCTAGTTAGCCAGCACAAGAGAGAAACCAAGCCAATAAAGACTTGAAGGAGAAACCAACCCCTTCTCCAGCTAATACCACAATTTTTCCCGTTTATGTTTGTTTTGTTTGTTTGTTGTTTTCAGCTGTATAAAACCAATTTGGCAAAGGGGCAGCCATACCTGGTTCCCATTGATGGTGTAATCATACTTCGTGGCGTACACTTTTCCTACAGACACTGCAATAGCATAGGCCACCACGGCAATGGAAAACGATGCAGCCAGCATTTCCGAAAACAAGCTCATACGCGGGAGGGCCGGAGGCAAAAACCTGGTGAGTTTTTAAATGAAAAATGCTATGAGGACTAGACCATAATTCTCTTTTCCCACCTCACCAAATGCTACATCTACTTTAGCCACATGTCAGACATGAAAGTACTTGATTCAAGAGGACAGAAAGCATATAAGGTAAATATAAGGTAGCATCTGCTTGTATAATTTTTTTAAAGAGATTTTTTGGCTATAGAGTGCATGTGCTCATCAGAGAGACAGAGACAGAGAGACAGAGAGGGAGAAACAACCCCCCTTTCCCGGAGGATGGCCACTCCACAATCCCTTCTCCTCTATCCTCCTCTTGGGATTTTGGGCACACACACACACACACACACACACACACACACACACACATGCCCAGCATGTTTCAAGCCACTGGGGCCAGTACTCGAACCATGGTTGGCTATGTGTACTGTGGTTAACCACCATACCTCCTACTGGCCCCCACTTTTATCATTTCTAATCAGAAATTGCTGCTATCTCATTGGTTGATTTCTTAGACCTCTGTTTGAGAGCCTACAGATGCTGCCTGTTCTATGCCTCTGAGTAAGTCTGTTGTTACTGATTATGTCATACAACCCCATGCCATGCTGTTTCACACGTTAGTGTTTCTCCTTGGACAACTTCACCTTAAAGGTATTTGAATTTAAAAGGTATTCTAGCTGTAATATGAGATTTACTCTGTATGATGAAATGTCAGTTTTGTTAGATAGGAAATATAAAGGGACTTTAATAAGTTCGTGGAAAAGCAGAATTAAAGTATGAGTTTATGTTGGTGCAAAAACAAAATTGAAATCCATGCATAGTTTTTCTTGTTTTGTTTTGTTTTTCCTTTTTATAATACACATGTCTCATGAACTTCTTTAAGACCCCTTATATTCCTGGCACCCACTCGTACTGGCTTGCTGGACTTTAGCGGTGCCACGTATTTACCCCAAGCTGATGAAGGCCCTGGCTGGATATCTATCACCTCTAAGTCCGTTTTCTTTTAGCTCCTGCCCACCTTCAGTGGACATTGATGCTTTCCAAATTTTATGCTCATTGGGTGGGTCTGTTTGACTCCAGCCAATGCTGCCTGACATGATTATGAGGTACCACTACTAAAAGTCTAAAAGTGTGAATGTGAGAACACACATTTGCCAGAAAAGACAAGAGTGGGAACAGACACCCGAAGGGTCAAAGAACCCATACAAGAGAGTCAGGCATAGTAAGTGTAATGCCCACTGCACATTTTTACTTCAGGTTGGACCTGAGCATTTGGAAAATGCACCACCACTCCAACTAAAGGGGAAATGTGGCCTTCAGAAAGCAGCGGGAAACAGATCTCCATGATCTTATTGGCCTCCCTGCTGTCCTCCCCTGCACCACACTTACAAATACAACTGCAAAGCACATCCCTTGAAGCACAGTGGTAGCAAACATGATGATAAAGACCTCCGGCCAGAGACCAGCAGTTAGCATAATGGCTATGTCACTGAACTCCCATGTAGTCAACCACAGTTCAAGTCTCAGACCCGGTGGCTTAAACTCATATAGGGCGCATGTGCATGCATGCCCGAGATCCTGAGAGGAGAATGGAGGAGAAGGGATTGTGGCGTGACCATCCCCCCCGGGGGGTGATTTCTCAATTTCTGTCTCTCTGATGAGTGCACTCACCCTATAGCAAAAACCTCTCCAAAAAAAAAAAAAAAAAAAGGAAGCACACCGGCAATCAAGGGTA